CAATATTTTCTGTCGCTCTCACTTCTTGTGCTAATTGACATTAACAAGACTACAACGTGACTATACCAGCTGTCACCTCAAGGGCTAAAGTGAAACGAATCCGACTGGCATCTAACCGTTTTCGTTTTTTTCCAATAAAACAAAGCCGTGACGTGTGCGCAATAACAATCTATGTGGGAGGGTGATGGGCTGTAAATTTCTAGCACCAAAACCAAATGCCGGCTAGCACTTCGGCACTTCCCAGGAACAACAAACAGCAACATAGCGCTGTTTATTATTTTTCGACGAGACTTACCCTTAACATTTTGGTATTTAATCATTATGCTATGTGTCATGATGATATTTTTTCGCGTCTTTTATATGTTGACCATTTTGCTTGCAATTGCGCGAACCCGGGCTAACCAGTGGAAGTAAAAATCGTCAAATTTTTTTTCGCAGAATGCTTGCAGGTGAAATTTTGCACACCAAATTTCAGATTGATTCCGTTTTGTTGGTGTTGTTGACAGCGATAAAAATCAGAGTAATGCTTATCATATGTTTAGAGTTTACTTATATAGTCCGACTTCTAGCCGCTTTTACAGCAGATGGCTGCAGTATCCGCACCTGACCATAAAGCTTGCGATAGAAATTAGGTACTGGGGATCCTTAATTCACCAGCATTAACAGTAAAATTAGTTGTAACAGTCTACGTTAAAACGACGGGGAGATTTAGTACAGGTTTATGATGATATTGGCCTCACCTAAATTAAGAAGTGACTTTGGTTCTACGTTAATTGAATGACCTATTCACTCCCGTCATCCGACTGACCCATGGTGACTTCGGTAGAGCTCTTAAGGTTATTGAATGGCTTAAAAGGTCGAACATCGGTGCATGTTTGCAGTGGTGCAATCAGGTATCTCATGTTTTGTGGGGCCCGAAGGGCGGATACCGGCATCAGTGGTGCATAATTATTTATTCATTGTGGCAGTCTCAAGAAGGTGCTTAAAAGACAGCCATTTTTGCATGTCAATCTTCTTTGTGGCTATTATCAGAACACACTCAACCCTCTTTTTGTGATACAGTGCATTATTGCTCAAAATAACGCTATTTTGCTGATTGAGGCCGAGCAGACGGAGAGACCACGCTCTAAATATGTTTTTGAATCGATTTGCTTATCCTACACTTCCTTTTTAATTAAAGGAAGCCGGTCATACATCGGGGAATAAAGCCTGTTTCATTGTTTGCTTGAGTAACAATTACACGTTCATCCTTCTTACGTCAGAGGGGATTTTAAGCACGCTACTCACTTAATGCATAAAAAAAAACGTGATTTTACGGCACTGTTGTAAAACCATAAAAGTAAAAATTGTGTCGCCACCGGTGTTATCCAGTATAAGGCCGGTATTGACCCAATTTTTACTTTTATAATATACTTGCGGTTCTTGGCTTTGCTTTCTCTGATAATTCAGAGTGACCGCCGTCTCCACTCTAGGATATCCTCCCCTTTAATTTGGGAAGAATCGCGGTTCCGTTTTAATTTCACAATCCACGTCTTCTTTTCTTCAGTTTCGGAATTTGGGTTGGATGTTGGGCATGCAGTTTTTCACGGTCGTTTTCCACTAGTGTTCGGAAGCATGCAGGTTTTCAGATGTCGTAGTTCGCCATCCTCCTTCGTTTTCCAACAGCTTTCGGAAATTTCTTCGATAGAGGTCTCATAACTTGGTTGCCATGGAAAGAGAGATAACACTGACGACTGTTGTGTTGGCAGTGAGATTAACAACTGTATCTACAATTTTCTCGGTTTTGGCGGCACATTCAAGAAAAAAACGATGTTTAAAATAAATCGTTTCTTTTGATTGGAGTTCAACTGGACATTTCCACTCACAGGGTGCTTGAAGTATACTCAAGGGCAAGCGTCTATGGTGACTGCGAGTGGCAATAAACCGACCTTTGAATCTCGCTTTTATATTAAAAAATATCGAACGTATTAAAGTTATTTTTGAGTTATCTTGTCGGAAATTATGAGCTTCAATGCTCACATATGTGCCAAGATGTTTCGTCGGCGAAGTGTCACAAGGGCTATCTGGAGAAGCGGATGGACCTGTGAAATGGAATTCTACCAATAAGCACGCAGCAAGGTAGCCAGATCTACTTTTTTTTAGGTGAAAGCGTGCATAAATTTATGTACAATATTACACGAGCGTAAATAAAGCAAAGCAATGCTATCATCAGAAGGGCAATCAGCATCGTTCGAAATACCGTTTCGTATTGTGGGATGCACGCTTTTTATTATTGGTATTGTACATTTTATCAGAAGTCAGAGCATAGCCGGTGCTAGTAAACCATTCATGGGATCAATTACGCTGCGCCTTAAGAGCAATGCGACAACCACGACTTTTGTAGTCTTTTTTAGTGTGATATCACCACCTAAGCCTATCAAGTCCAGTGAGTGCGCTTGATTGGTGTGGCTGTGGCGGTGACTGGGATTTTACTTTGCGTGTGTGTGTTTGTGTGCGTCCGTTCATGTGTGTTTGTGTGCGAGCTAGTGCGTGTGTGTTTGTAACTCTTTAAGCCTTCGGCTGGCGCTCTGAGGGTGTAATAAAGCGACATACATATTTCCTGCGCATACCGTCACCCAGGCGAAAAATGCCGAGTCACTAAGCGGTGGATGCATGGTGTCAAATATTCAAAAAAAAAAAAAGAGCTAGTGCGCATGGTCAGAGCGCGTTCCATACCCAAGTAGACAACGATGGCAGGCGGCAGAACGTCATGTTTTAAAGGTCTCCAGTATCGATCTATAGTATCTTCTTGTCATCATAAGATGGTTGACCGGGGGGTGAAAACTTAGCACATTTATATATCCGACTGTTCTCTCCGGAGGATCTTATCTCTCTAAAAATCTAAAAGCGCTCACCGGCGCCTTCTTTCCGCTAGAAGGATTCTGATACGCGGGAGGTCACATGGTTTTGTTTAAAGCGGTTTCCAACGTTCACGAGTGTAGGCGGCAGTGGTATACGGCAATGCCGCGATGATATATCACTCCATGAAGTTTGCGCCGAAGAATTACTTTGAGAAGACCTTTTTCTGTGGTAATGCTTAAAAATATTGGCATGAGAGGTATCTTCGCTTCCAGCTTTCATGAGGTAGCTTTTTATCACCGCGATGAAGCGAGAAAGTCCAAAAGGTGAAGGAGCAGCTCTGCAGATCTACGGGTTTTTATCAGTGTTAACCTGATTTTCCATTCCTCGGGTCAGTTGGAAGATGCTCGGAGACGTTCACGAAAATTAAGGAGAGTATTGACCCCCTTAATTTCCGTCCATGTCCATTCTTCGCGTTCTTGTTTAATCGCGATTTTCTGAATTGCCATTTCGATAGTCTCTGTCTTCCGTGTGACGATTCCACCCAACTGTATTTTCACCCCTCCCGAAAACTGAAATGTTTCCTTAGCGTTCAATATTCGCATTTCAAGCCATAAATAGGTTTTTTAACATTTTTATTTTATTCCTCATTAACAGTTTTGACAGAAACTTGGAATTAACGCTGTTTATGTCATGAAACACTGGTACTTCCTATTGCTCTTGCTCCGCACGACTGTTCTGAACAGTACGTTAAGCAAAACAACGTTTTCTCAACCGGTACATCATCCAGCATTTGTCGTGAATCACAATTTGCTATAGATTTCGAATACTGAAACTTCTACTACCTCAGCTTCTACCCTTCTACTTTGAAAAACGCCCGAAATTTTCCTTGTCAACAGGTGTGGAGAACTGAGAAACATTCCGTGCGTCTCTGATCGAGATGAGATTTCAATGATTTGAAATGACGTCAAAGGACAAAATTGACCCTCAAAAGCGTATACGTTAATTTTCACTTACTAAGTAACGTGAAAACAAATAAAACAATTTAATATTGCCTTGTGCAATTATATTACCAAATAAATAAATAACGGTGGATCTTCGGACAATTCAAACAAGTCAAAGGTCAAGCAAACAATACTTTGAGATATTTACAGTGTTTATTTTGAACACATGTGTTTTGAATTTTACGGCGGATTTGTTGCTGTGACCTTTCGGAATATTGTGCATCTTGGTTTCGGGACGGGCCGGAATGTTGAAGATCACAGGAGAACTGAAAATAAACAAAGTATTTTATAATTATCTTATTTTGATGCCTCACAAATTATGAAAAGCGCTCACAATTGATTTCATTTTGCATCGACGAGCTTAATGGCAGTTTGAAGTAACTTTGTATATCTATTAGGGCCGACATCATGTCACGTGAATTTATTTCAGAACTTCACAAAACCCGTGCTGAAATTTTAAGTATTTAATTATTATTTTCAAACTATCTTTAACCTCACTCACGCCTTGTGAAGACAACCTTGGGAACGTTTTTCTCGAGTGCGTTAAGGAAATTAAACAAAGGAAGATAAATGTACGATGAAATCAACATGGATTTTCTCATCTGTCTGCTTTCTGTACTTATCACAATGTCAGAAGTAGAAAAGGTGATTCTCCAAACCTCGAGGCATACTGTTAGGTTTTTACGTGAAGTCTTTAATCAGATCGAATTAATTTGACATTCATTTCTACAAAATGTCAGACTCCACCCTTTCTCATGCCCGTACTACGAAAATTTGTTGGGACTAGGTTTCAACACCCAACACCCCCCATAATTTGATAAGGCGGAGCCATGCATACTTTCCAAATATTGAATTTTCTAGCAGCTGACAGATAATTATATCGCAGAAGCACTTTACGTTTGGAGCATTCGTAACCACGTATAGAGCCCATGGTACTGCCTTGAGAGCATGTGAACCAAACTGTCTTTTCCGTGAATAGACAAAACAAAAAGCCTGACAACAGATAAATTACGATGACTGATAGTTCATCTTATGTATTTGATGAAGATTGTTTAATAAGGAAGAAAAACTCATGCTTTTATGACGATTTGCTATTAGTTCGGATGAATGTAACTATAATAATTACCAGTAATGTATATAATAGGTCAGAAGACGAAATTAGCCGAAGAATCCGCCGCCTAGGCCGCCGTAGTGACCGCCGTAGGATCCACCGTAGCTTCCTCCGTAGCTTCCTCCATAGTGACCACCAAAGCCGTGCCCGAAGCCGCCCAGACCACCGAGGCCGTAGCCGCCGTAGCCGCCGAGACCACCGAGGCCGTAGCCACCGTAGCCACCAAAACCGCTGCCGCCGAGGCCGTAGCCGCCGAAGCCACCAGCAGCGGCGACGGCGAGAACGACGCAGAGGACGGCAAGGGAAAGCTGAAATAACAAGCACAGGGAATTTGTTCGATTCATTTTGATATAGCCTGAGCACTCAATGAAGGTAACATTTAAATTAGTCGCTCTGCCGAAAAAAAATCCAGTTCGAACGGGGCAGACCATTTAACACAATACAAACATACCACTACGCGTGCATAAAGTGGTTTGTTCATATTTTAAACGAGAAAAAAGACTGCGTACTCACCTGTAAAACTTGTATTTCCACAGGAAGATATCATTCAGCTACTTATTAATTAAATGCTAGCTGAAATGACCTAAAGCTGAATACGGAGTGCAAGTTCGTCTGCTCTTTGCGAAACTCGTGTGTTTGTTTACACACTAGATGCACCCATGTGCTTCTGTTTACCCCGACCCTAACCAATTACGGCGTGCACGAGGCTGCTTGTACCCTCGCGTGTCCTGCGCGATCTCTACCCTTCCCTTTGATTGGCCTGCCTCTATTTTCGCCCTGGTGCGCCAAAGAAGTATATTAGGACACTTACTCGCCGTATAAGCTCACCACCTTTCACAGGGTGCACAAAATGAACAGAGTTTTAGAAAAATATTACCTATAAGCACTTTTTTAAATGAAAAGCGACCATTGTTCTCAGGAATGGTCGCTTTTCTCGGGAAACGGGACGTTCAGGGCAGAAGGCGAACAGTGAGATGTGCTTTTATAATTAATTTTAATAAAGAAACTTGGAGGATACTTAAGCTTCGACTTTAAAAGTGGAAATCAATAGCGCTATCGGGCTCCGTTCACATCGCCTTCTCATTCGCTTCCCATGCTCAATGACGGGAGTGCGCTCCGAGATCCGAAGACGCTATCGCATCTCCGGATCGTACTGTCGCTGCTGCCGCTTTACTTCAGCTTCACGGGCACGCATATAAACATATAAACTCACGCTCGCTCCCAAGACTTGCAAGGCAACCCGGCATGGCCTAGTCAGTAGCGTGTCTGTATTCAGTCGAGGGGTCGTGGGTTCGTACCCCGCTTAAAATGCTACGATCTTTTTTCTTTAATTCAAATGAATTACCTTTTAAAATGAGATCACTTAAGGCATGTGGTGACCTCTTATTCGCATAACGTTCATGTTTCAATCACTTCATTGTACGCGTGAAGTCCCGTTTCAGGTGAGCGTTTTGGGTTGTTTGAGATTCCCGAGCGAGGTCATGTGGCTCTGAGGTCATAATTCTATCGACCAATCATGGATTTTAGCGCACGCCACCGATACCGGCATTTCTGCGACACGAGATCCTTAACGCTCTCGCGTTAAAAAAATTATTTTACTCTCGATGTTTGCCTCATAATTTTGCACATTTTAGAGTGGCATACGATATAAACATTCAAACTTATCAAGAAACCCTGGAGCAATCAAACTGAGTAGGTGTAATGTGACCATTACAAAACATTTGCTTATCTCTTCGCTTTGGTTTATTGCCCGACCCGAAACTATTCTGGTGCTCTAATTCCTGCAGCTATGGAGCTGTTTATCCATTTAGCTATTTAACGTGGCCTTGATACCACAAGTTATATGTATCCTATATCTGGTGACAGGATAAGAGTTCTGGAGAAGCTCCTCCTAACTCTATCCCTTCTAGCAGGGCGAACGCTAGAGAGGGGGTCAGCTCCTCTTCATCGATCGCTCTGCTAAAGTAGAAGGAGGTGGGAGGAGCTTTCCTTGAACTCTTTACCCGTCACCGACAATAACCTGTTCTACGCATTACGAAAAAAAAAAATAAACAGGAACTTTTTATTAAAATAGTTTCCTTTTTAGAATATCTGTTCTGTTCATAATATTCTGAAGATAATAGATGAACTTCTAACTGAAGTCCCTGAGATTACACTAAGAATATCGATGTGACGATTAAAGTAATAAATGGTAATAATACATCATCAGAAGGCGCAACTTTTCATATGAGTCTGTTAAACACACTATATGTATCAAAATTTGCCTTGACTCACCACGGCCTTCATGGTACGGGTCGGTTGACTGTGTCTAAGTGGAGTTATTCCAAGACTAATTGTGGTGGCTTCAAAAAACGGCAAGCTCTTTTTATACTAGTTCCACCCCTATGGGATCATGGGCGGAGTTCTGAGGCTAATGGGAATTAAATATTCCTTTTGTATTTTACGAGTTGCGAAAGGAGTGGCTTGCATAGTATTATACAATATCTTAGTACGCCCTTGAATGCGAAAATGTATTTTACTTATCTGTTGGCTGAAGGGAGAAAGCCCAACAATAGTGTGTTCACATTCGTAAGGTGAACTGTTTGCGTGCCATGCATGATTTCTCTCTTGGGTCATTTATTCCGTAAGGTCTGCGCGTTCTGCTGCGAATCCTTAATGTAATCTAAGGATGTAGAATGCGAGTTTCCAGTAGATGATGAGTCTCAATAAGTAATTTTTAAACACCGGTAGGAAATGTGCTGAGCAAAAAATAATCTAAATGGTTTGACTTAATTAAAGCAGAGTATAGCACACGAGCATACTGCTGCTTTTCTTAAATCTTGTGCCGTAAAAGTGAAGCTTTCTCAGTAAAGGAGTATTGCTTGCAGGAGTAGAGTTAAAACACAAACAAAAACATTAACATCGCGTTAAATGTTGCAATGTCCTGACAGCTGGTGGTGTTTTCAGGTTCACGGCGTTCAGTCCTACTAGATGACAAAATCGAGTTATTTCCATCGATTTTGTAAATCTTTCATTACATTGTATACAGGTTTTATTAAACAGCCCTAAAAAACTTGTTTAGCGCATTTGGTAAGCAAAACGCTCTGTGCTGTTCAAGTGTGACAACCACGGGCGCGTAGCGTCTTGAAGATCAGGCGATGCATACATAGAGGTACCCCAGAACAATCATCCAACGACGTCGGTGGGCCGTAAGGTCTATTTTAGAGAAAACCTCTGTCGGAATTTGTTAACTAGAAGTCAGTTGGTTCGTGTAGTAAGTAATATACTACCACGTTCGCCTGTAACTATAGTTCTTCAAACTGGGACCTCTGCCTATATTTTAGCAATATAATCAAAACTTTAGATAACCTTCTTATTCGTCTCCTTACTCTTACGAAGATGAGTCTCTAGCGCAAGCACGCAAGGCACCAATGCACCGAATGCAGCATGTTATACATTAGTGTGTCACTACGTTAGACAACGTTGTGGGACTTAAGGCCCATTCATAATGTAGTTTGACAGCGCTTGACCACGTTACAACCATGTGAGTCTAGTCATAACTGGAACCACTAAATATGTTTTCAGAGTACCGTTTTTCTTCTTTTTTTTTTGCCAAGTGTATTTTTGTTTACGCTTTGTTCCATGTCCCATCATCGCACCGCTCTCGCTTTTTTACTTGACCAAGAAAAACCAGTACTACAGACTGGCTGTCTGGGAAATCTTGTCAACCCCTGTAGGTAGAAAGCCGCAGTACCGAGGAGTTCTTTACGGCTGTATGCTGAGGTCCAGTGCGAGCCACAGATTCAACACGACTGTTGTGTCAGTGTTCCGCAGGAACTCGTCCTTGTCCTAACTGATTCAACGCCAGTTACATCCGAATGGTGACGTGACGCAAGCAGAGATCAAGTGGGCTCAAAATATAAGGCCGGTCCGACCCCATCCGACCCGACCGATCCGATCTGACCCCGTCCGTCCTGACCTAGACCGACCCGACCCGATAACGTCCTGACCCGAATCCGACTATGGTTTGTGAACGTCGAACCGAGCCCGACCCGATCAATAAGTATGTCGTCTCGAACCCGGCCCGAGCCCAACTGTTAATTTTAACATGAGTCCTATCCGTAGTCGGCCGGAACCCAACTTTTAAGCGCAGAGTTTGTGTTATCATGGCTGGCTCCTAGAATCTTTGGAAACGAAAGTACGTCATTCCCAAGGACGGATTTGATCGTCATGGTGAACTTCGCTAGAAAAACAGAAAGACGAGAGGAAGCGCATGTTCTAGATAAAATCCAGAACCTCTTCGTTGTGAATCTGACGCTAAATGACTGGGCCGTACCTGAACGATGGGGAAGCAAGGTTGAATGTTGTTTGCAAGCTGATCGTGGCCTAGAAGAGGCTTCGCAATCGCTAAGTCTCGTCTAGACGACAATCGTGGCTAAGACAGTGCTACGAACTCATTTTGGGTTAGTGGCAAGCTGTTTCAGCCACGATTATAAGGCAAAGGCGCTTACCATCGGCCACCGTTTTTATAAGTATAAAACTACACTGTAAGCAAGTCCCGTGTATTTGCTGAGTATTTGGGTAAACAACACGCTATTTCCACAGAATTATCATAAATTTACACGTTGAGTAATGGATAATTCGTTCAAAAATAATGTGAGGTTGTAAAAAAACGAGTTTTGGTTCGGTCATACACGCATAACTGCGTAACCGACCTCTAAAACACTCATCACCTCCGGCGACGACCGCAGCACTGCCGAAGCCCCGGAATGTTTGGCGACACACCTGGAAAGGACTGTGGAGACAAATGCCGCGGGAAGAAACATGTCTCGGAGACAGATATGCGCGAAAAGCAATTACGCCATGTCGCGGGACGTTGCGAATCCCGCGCTTGGTGCGCGCTGCCTCTGATTGGCACTGCGGCTTCCCTCATGTCGCCCATGTTTGAATTTATATTAGAGGTCTTGATAATAGTTTCTTACGCACCACAAATAATATTATTGGTCTAATTACTCGTTATAAACAATTATAAAAAGCGTGTCCTCGGTTTGAACACGTATCATTGCGTTGGTTATGTTTTAACTTCAACCCTTCAACTGCAAGCGCAACGGCCGTGTAACACCAGAGGGGGGATGCCCGAAGCTTTTCTTGCACCCTCTTCAAAATTTACGACTCCCCGTGGTGGCCCCCATATTAAAACTTTATATCAGTGTTGCGGCATCTGTAGGTCATGTTTAATTTAGAGCTGACAAAAAAAAAAATCTGGCCACGGCGAAACGCCGATGTACGCTGGAAGCTAGAGCCGGTTTAGCTTTTGATGTTTTTGTTTGGTCGAAAAAATCTGGGAACAGCGCACGTTTAACATGGCGCCGGTATTGTTTTGGTTGAGGGGACACGAGAAGCTCCGCAGTTTCGCGATCACATGTAGGGAAGACGTGACCGGAGAAGTGCCCCTGTGATGCTGCCGGAAGATGGAACGTATCATTCGTAATCGTCGTGTGTGCTTTGAAACCCGAAGGGAGTCACAGGGTCCACGAATGCGCAACAACAAGCCAAGGCCCCCGACAGCGCTGCGTTGACTTCGGCGATCTCGTTCTGTTTGATACAACACGGCGATGCGACAAAGAACTTAAAAGTTTGTGGTGTGTACTGCGGGGCTTGGAAGTAGAAAACCACACTTAACGGGAGCGCAAATTGGTTGTTGTGGGGTTGAGGTTCAACGGGTTCAGTCCCCCCGTCGTCAGCTGATCTGGTCCGGCTAGTCTGGCAAGACGCAGCTAGCGTTTTTTAAAAGAATTTTCTTTTGTTTTGTTTCAAAATGTGGAAGATTCCCGACGCATACCGTCAGTAAAAAGCTGAAGGCGTTTTTAACAAACTTACGTTGTTTGAATTGAACAATGGATTTTGTACTGTTGTCCTAAATTTGCCATTTTTATGCTTCGTGTTGTAGGACTGCGTTTGCGCAGCGACGTGTTTGCACAGCGACGCACATTGCTCAAGTAGATGATTCGGTCCTGCAAACGACCGGTTATACAGAATTTCAGGGAAACTTGTTACCGCCAATATTTTCCTGCAAATCTCGTGTGAGTTTGTTGCGCTCATCATGCGGTGTGAATAAATTAGGGCAAGGGTTTCTACCTGCCCAAAGATGCGTGAACGGAGACCATTTTTTACGTAGTGAACATAGTGCTTTTTTGTTTTGGAAAGAGGCGTTGGTGCATTTATTATTGTCGCTTGAGAGTTGAGAAATTAGGGAGAGCGAGCAAGCTTTCCCGACTTTGTCTTATTTTCTATGGCACTGCCCCTAGTTTCAAGTTTCAGTTTCAGTAGGCATACTTACTAACAGGTACAAACTGCTCTAAAGCAGGTACAAGACTGGGAAGTCAGGACGGTGCGTACTCTGTGTTTCGCGCTTTTCGCTAAGTGAGTGGGTACGTGCTTTTGCGAGGTACGCGGGATATGCAAACAATTTTGTTATGCCCGTCGTTTGCGTCTCTCCAGCAAAACGAATAAGATGATCTTCAAAGGCGCAATCACAAGCCAAGATATTGCGATAACAGTGTATTTGCTTCGATGGTCAGTGTAGTTGTATTTTACCCTGCTCTCTGCAACACCGTGTCATGACGAAGAGCTGTAACGGTCACGGTTTGTGCTGGCCTACCGGTTGACAGAAATCCGGATCGCCCGCATCGGCACCGAGTGCACTTGGGCTGTTGATACTCAAGCACTTTATACGCGGCTTGTCGCCAGCCGATCCTGCTGTTCGACGGTGAGGAAGCGGCGAACAGCAGAGATACTTGCTGTTCTGGTTTCCTTGCCTTGCGTACTCCAAAATGACGGAAACAATAAGTTTCAACAGGTCGAGTACGTCACCGGGGATGTAGGTTATACGGTGCATGGGAACGCGACAGAACAGCACACGACAAAACAGCACGCGACAAAACAGCACGGTCAAAACAGCATGCGTCAAAACAGCACAGCGTCAAAACAGCACAGCGACAAAACAGCACGCGTCAAAATAGCACGCGACAAAACAGCACAACGGCAAAACGGCACAGCGACAGAAGAGCACGTGCCGAAACAGCACGGCGTAAAAACAGCACAGCGACAAAAGAGCACGGATGTAGCAACTTCAAGCGCGTTCTTCACCTCCATCTGAGCGAATAATAGCGAACCTCCTTCACGTTTTCATTTATTGTCGCTAGGTTATAGAGAACTTTATTGCCCATTTCTGAGCTTACCAAACTCCCCAACCCGGAACCCCCCTCCCCCCCCCCCCCCCCCAAAAAAAAAAAAATATCGCGTCA